GAGGCCAAGGTAGGTGGATCACGAGGTCAAGAGATCGAGACCATCCTGGCCAACATGGTGAAACCCCATTTCTACTAAATGTACAAATATTAGGTGGGCATGGTGGCATGTGCCTGTAGTCCCAGCTATTCAGGAGGCTGAGGCAGGAGAATCGCTTGAACCCAGGAGGTGGAGGTTGCAGTGAGCTGAGATCACGCCACTGCACTCCAGCCTGGCCACAGAGCAAGACTCCATCTCAAAAAAAAAAAAAAAAAAAAGAAAAGAAACATTTAGTAAGCATTTCCTGCATTTGTACGCAAAGAGTACAACAGCGATATATTCCACAACATTAAAGCAAAATAATTAAAATTATCCCAGGTAAACTAAATAAGAAGGCTTTCTATGAACAGGGTAATTATTGGAACCAAGCTAATATAGAGTTGCTAGCCAATTCCAATATGTGCCCAGAATTATAATATTGATCCAGATTTTTCACATTACCCATCTCTCTTGTTTCTTCTGAGCTGCAATCAGAGATCACTGGTTGATTCACAAAAATAAGTAGTGCCAGCCTAATTTACGGAAAAAAACTCAAAAACAACTGATGAGACTAGAATTTAATAACAGGCATACCATAGTTTTTGAAACAATTTTTCTCTCTCCAATCTTCTATTTTTACTGAAGACAAATTATGGTAAGACCGATTCAATTCATTATGCTTGGTCTGATTATTTTTATAAAGCACAGAAAGAATAATTATTTTTCTAACAGGTTTTCTTTTTTTTTTTTTTGTCTCACTCTGTCACCCAGGCTACAGTGCAGTGGCATGATCACAGCTCACCGTAGCCTTAACCTCCCTGACTCAAGCTGTCTTCCCTCCTCAGCCTCCTGAGTACTATTATTTTTTTTCTCTTCTGGTTGTATATTTTCAATAGTCCATCTTGGAGCATGCTGATTCTTTCTTCTATTTGATCAATTCTGCTGTTGATATCTATTGCATTTTTCATTTCATTTATTATACTTTTAAGCACCAATATTTGTTCAACTTTTAAAATTACTATTTCAATTTCTATTAAATTCCTCTGATAGATTTCTTAATTGATTCTGTGTTTTCCTGAAGTTTGCTGAGCTTCCTGAAACAGCTATTTTGAATTATTTGCCTGAATAATCACATATCTCCATCACTTTAGGGTTAGTCTCTGGTACCTTATTTTGTCCACTTTGTACTGTTATATTTTCCTTGAATGTTCCTGATGCTTGCTGATGTCTGACAGTGTCTTTACGTTGAAGGATTAGGTATTTATTTTAGTCTTCACAGTCTGGCTTTGTTTGTACCTGCGCTTCTTCAGAAGGCCTGCCAGTAATTCTAGGCTGACTAACTTTGTGTGCCTTCAGACTGTGATCACTACAGTCATCACGGCACTAGAGGACGGTCTAAGCCCAGGCTTGCTGTGAGTCTTGCAAAAAGGTCTAAGATTAATGTGGCTTTTTGGTCCAGATAGACTTGGGGAAGATCTAAGGAGGCTACTAAGGCTGTCTGGGAATGTTGGCCAGGAATTTGAGTTCAGAAGATTGTCCCCAGTGGCCCAGGTGAATGTTCTTCACAGCAGGCATATGTACAAGTGGATGAGTCCCTGACTGCAGTGAAAGTGTCTAGAGTTGAGCTTGGGGTCCTTCAGGATCTGCAGGTGAGCCTGTCTCGTTGGCGTAGACAGGTGAGTGTCACTCAGCAGGTCCTTGCTCAAGTAGGGGTAGTTCCTTGACTGCAGCAGGAGGGACCGGAGATGAGACGGGGCCCCCTCAGGATCTGCTGTGGAATGAAGGGTAATATGCATGTTACATTGACTCAGATGGGCATGCATCTCCCAGCAGATCTCTGTACAGATGACATAGTTTCCTGAATGCAACAAGAGAGACTGAAGCTTACAGTGAGTCCCCTTGGTATTTATTATTGTGGGACAGATGCTGAAGAGCCTAGTCTTGGCTCGGAGGAGTGTGTGTCACTCAGCAAGTTCTTGAATAGATAAGATAGTTCGTTGACTTCTGCAAGAGGTGCTGGATCTGAGACTGGACCCGCTTGGGATCTGCTGTGGGAAGGATGCTTAAAATCGTGGTCTCACTGGCTCAGTCAGGTTTCTCCCAGCAGGTCTTAGCACAGATGGGATAATTCCCCAACTACAGTGAGAGAGGCCAAAGCTGAGACTGGGTCCCCTTGGGACCTGCTGTGGGATAGAGGCTGGCATGCCCATCTGTGAGGCTTAGACTCCCAGGCTGGAGGATATGGGTGAGTCTCCCTCTGGGTCCTTGTGTGAGTATCTCTGAGCTGTAAGGTCAGCTGAGGAAGGATGGAGCAGCACCACAGGATAACTTTCAGGTTCACTGCTGAGACCAGTGTCAGTGGGCAGGTGAGAGCCTTTTTACCAAGGCACTAGTGTGCGAGATTCCTTCTGGACGTCTTGGCAGATCGTTTTGGTTCCAGGCTCAAGAACAAATGGAGCTTTAGCCAAACTCCTTGAGAGACTTGGCAATGAACCCAGAAACAAGCTTGGTGGGGCAGATCAGCCACCTGGGTGTTGGTCTGCATACTCAAAAACAACCCTAATAAGTCTTAGGCTTCAATAAGATTTCGCAAATTCCTACTTGGCTCCTGAGGCTCCTGAAGAGAGACTGTTGACTGTAAATAGGTACAGAATTCTTGTTGCTTGTATTTTTCAGTAGACACGGGGTTTCACCATGTTGGCCAAGCTGGTCTTGAACTTGCTGTGGAGGCATATGAGTGGGTTACCTTCTACTCTGCCATCTTGGTGACATCACCTCAACATGTCCCAATTTTAGGAATGTTAAAGCTGTGGAGAAATACATATCTTTGACTAGATGAAACTTCTTATTTTTGGTTCCATTCAGACCCCTGACAACATTTAAATCTCATTTATTGTATTTTATTTTTACTCCTAATTATACTGCTTAATATACTTACCTGGTTCTTAAAGCCATAACTCATCAAAAGGAAGAACTTTAGAAGTGCAAAGATTTAAAATTATTTGTGTATTGCTTTACAATTTGAAAACTGCTTTCGCATGTCCAAACTAATTCAACAACCATTTTTTATTTTACCATAAATAGTACCATTTTGGGTACTATTATTATCTCCATACCCACTTTACAGATAAGGAAACCGAGATTCTAAGTGAGGTTAAATGATAAGATGCTGAACATTAATACCTGCATAAATCTTAATTCGAATGTAGCCTTCGTGATGCCAAAATGTCTGCTCTTTCCACTCACTTTTCTATCAATAAGGAGGGAGTGAACGCAAGAGAAGGCATTGCCAGCGTTAGAGAATGAAGATCAAAGCTACACAACCTCATAGAAATGCAAATGAACAGACAATATGTATATAGAAGAGCTCAAAAGCCTACTTTATTAAAAATAAAGCAGCCTAAGGTCATTAAGTGTTGAAGTAAACAATGTTAGGCCCCTAGGTATCTATAGTAGATGTTCATGATGTTGATTTGAGTAACTGAGATGAAGTTAACCAGTACTTATTTTTCCTGCTATTTCTTTTTCAATAAGGAAGGAGTTCGGTTTAGAAAGTTCAACATCCCAAGTGGTTAATTTAATAATTATTATTTAGAAAATAATTTTCTTTGGATTTTTTTATATTCAAGATATGAATAAGTTATCACACATGTTACATTGCACTGCAGTAATTGTGATTTTGACAATCTAATGTCTTCATTATTATTTTTCTGATTATAAATGCTTTGTATTTATACGCTTTATAGATTATTTAAAGCATGGAGAAAGGTATAAATGAACAGAAAGTAAATGTTGAATTAAAAACTAAAACCAAAATAAAATCTAAACACCTAAAGCTCACCATTGTTAAAATTTGGCATATCCTTCCAGATTCTTTTTTCATGCATTCAGAAATATAACTGATATCATATTAAAAGTATTTAGTATCATGCATTTCTCTACAGACGTAATCATAACCTACATAGTATTCCACTGTAAATAATAATACCTAGTAGTTTTTTTAATGGAATAAATTTTATAAAATAATTGTATAGATGATGTTTGACATCTAGAAAGCAGGAGTAAAGACTATTTTCCTATTGTCTTTCTTAAATGAAAATGGAAAAAGTTTAGAACACACTGGGAGCTGCCTGGGTGAACAGTCCCCTGGACGTTTGTTATTTCCTTGTGAAGGCACAGACTGGAGTATGTGAGTGCTGCCCAGGGATTGTGTCCTATGGCATGGTGTCATATACCTCCCTGGTGGACATTCTAATTAGGGAACGTGATCCTCCTTTGGTAGAAGGATGCTCTGCTTGTCATACGTTTAAAGCAGGAATAAAAGACTTCCTTTAGAACCAGCTTTATGCCAGCTCAGGGTTATAATTATTCAGCACTTTGGGGGAATCTCTTCAAAAGGTTGAATTTGAACAGGTATCACTTGCCTCATCATTTTTAGATGTTCATCTTACATTTTTGAAGTTTTGTTCTGTATATTTGAAATGATTTCAGTATAATTGGATTCAGTTGAGAGATGGATGTCTGTGAGTTTGATGTTTGAGGCCATGGTAGAACAATTTAGTATTTTACTATTACTTTTTTCTATAAAATTGACTTGAAAGGTTCTAAAAATCATATTTACTGCATAATTATAACAGTTAATCTGCGCTACCCATGAAGTAGAGAGCTGAGGGAAGTGTGAGCCTATTGTGAAGGATTAGAATAACGGGGAGCTTGGAGTATGCCTTTTCTGCCTGATGTCTGCTTAAAATAGTCTTTCTCAAAAGCCATTATCTCCAACTCTCTCTGCTGCTGCTTCCATCAGAACACTCTTCACTATTTTAAAAAGTAATATTCCTAATAAAAACCTTCATACTCCTTTGTATTTCCTCCAATGCATCTGGTAAACATGTGTAAGCTTAGACAATGTCAGAAGCTTTTTAATGTCTTTTCTATGTTTGAAGATTTCCCTCAATTTTATTGTGTCCCTATTCTCAATGCAGAATCCAGAAATTTGTCCTCCCAGACTTTTTTGGAGCAGGGGTAGAGGCATGCGACCTGGATATTCCCAACCAGAAACATCCTTAGAAAACTTTGATTCACAAGAGAGAATTTGAGGAAGTAATCACCCTCGTGCAAACTAGATCAGGTAAGCCTGATGGCTGAGGAATATGGCTTTTGGGGAGAGTGATGTTAGAAATTTTGGCATCCAGCTCGCAGTGCAGCTTCAGTACATGTCTCCATTGGCAGAAACAGTGTGGTCTGCATGAGTAGTCCCTGAATCTTGCTGTTGGTTGGACATCTTCCAACCCTGACTCCCAGCTCAGATATGTTTTCAGCAAAACTGATTTTTTTCTGTAAAAAAAAAATGTGTGGTTTGCAATCCTAAATCCCGAGAAATACACCATATCCCCCTACCCACTATGCGATCCCCCTTTTCCTCTCCAGTGTAAGGCTCTGCTTTATTCTTGTTTATAACTTTCCTCATCTTTATCCAGCATAGTCTTGCATAATTTTTCAGGGCTTACAAGTATATCAACACTGCAATTCTTTTTAGTCAAATCAAATTAAATTATTAAGCACCTCAGGCACCTCTGTAAGGGTTGTTTACTTATTTTTTATGAACAAAAAGTTTTCTCTTGTACTCTTTATAAATAATACTTTTTGAAAATTATGTTTTTAAATTCGTGAGCAAAATCATCATCTCTGTATAATGTGAGCACAGATTTTTCTGGACGGGACTGGTAGAGGGAAAGTGGAACAGAAAGATTAATGTAAAAGGGGAAATCCATATGATTTCATAAACCTAAGTGAAAATAAAAAGTTACAATTTAGATTAAATGCTTCAGTTTAACAGTCACATTTTGTTTGTTCTTATCTAAGTCAATGTGGCATAATGGAAGCACACAAAAAAACGTGAGATGATTGTATTCAATTCCTTCTTTCCTTAGCTCTGTGATTTTTGATAAATTATGGTTTTTGAAACTTTGCTTTGTTCATTTTCGAAATGAAATTATAACACACTGTCCACCTGAGAAGCTTGTTATGGGGGCAAGAGGGTGAAGGTAGCATTACGATAGTGCTTTATAACTTGTAGGAAGGATTATAAGCATTGTTATTTCCAGTGCTTACTTTTTTTTCCTGTAGAATACTATTCATCTCTTGAAAACCTTCTAAGTGCTTCAGAGAATTTAGGATTAAAGTAGGGAACATACCATGCTACACATCTGCTTACTTAATATAAACTTGCAATTTTCATGGATATATATAATTGGGAGAGCATTATAGATAAGAAAATATACCAACATCTCATAATTAGTAATAACTCAAATCTAACCTAAATAGCCACCAAAAAGAGAACACTACTATTTTTTTTTTTTTTTTTCTTAGAACTGGGAACCAGGGGATGAAATTTTAGGTATAACTAGATTCAGGGACTTAAACACTGTCTTTGACAGCCTTTCTCCTGGACTTTGATTTCTGTTGATTTTCATTTGGTCTCTTTGGGTGTGGGAGCAGAGTTGACTACTGGAAGCTCTAGACTTAACACTCATTCAGTTTAGTAAACCAAACAGAAAGTGAGGCTTTTCCTGATAGTGCCAGCAAAGTTCCACGCGTTTTCATTGTCCCAGCCTGAGTTGTGTGCCTATCTCTGATCCAAACAGATCAGGGGGGTAGAATATTCTCTTTGGTCACATCTGAATCACATGCCCAAATACAATAGCTGGTGGAGTCAGCAAGTAATTTTTGAAACTTGGTGACTGAGAATGGGTGGGAGGGGAGATTCACAAAGAGAGACTAGGCATAAAAATTATGCCCATGTAATACATTTTGGGAAGGATCTATGGCCAATGTATTAAGAAACTTATGTAAAAAGTACTTTAACTTGCCTGAATGAAGTCTTGTTCTCTATAGTTATCTCTGATTTAGTAATCAGTAACTTAGACACCATCCCTATTATCTCTAGGGCAATAGGCTATTTTTACAGAGTTACTGACCATATAAATCACATTATAGTGCTCATGGTACCATCAATGTGGACAGATGCATAGAGAGTATTTCTAAAGAAATGCTCATAGAAGAGAGAAAAACATTAAAGTGATTGCTAGAAGAAAACATTGCAGAATGTGGACATGTGTGGCCTACTTTTGTGAATTTTTAATAAAAGGTTTCTGGCATGTAGAACTGCCATGTCTTCATTAGGATAATGTGGAGGCTGCTACCAAGTAGGACACATATTCCATATGACCCAGGGCACCACTGGGAAGAAAGGACTCTGAGTGTATTAGTTTTAAGCATGATGCTCCCTTCCCATAATACACAGTAAAAGCCAAATGCAGGATTTCCTAACATGAAAAGCAGATATGCAGAACTGGGCAGAGACCTGATTTTGAATTGGAGCATGTGAATGTTTATCTCAATTTTGCCAAGAACTTGCCATGTATCCTGGGGCACATCCTCTTTCCTGACTTGACCTTTGTTTCTCAATTCAAAGATTCAATTCAAAGATTTGAACTTGGCCAAGCATGGTGGCCCACGCCTGTAATCCCAGGACTTTGGGAGGCTGCGATGGGTGGATCACCTGAGGTCAGGAGTTTGAGACCAGTTTAATAACATGGTTAAACCCTGTCTCTACTAAAAATGCAAAAACATTAGCCAGGTGAGGTGGCAGGTGCCTGTAATCCCAGATACTTGGGAGGCCAAAGCAGGAGAATCGCTTGAATCTAGGAGGCGGAGTTTGCAGTGAGCTGAGATGGAGCCACTGCACTATAGCCTGGGCAACAGAGTGAGACTTGCTCATCCACCAAAAAAAGGTTTGAACTTGATAATGCCAAGAGCTACTTCCTGCCCAATGATTTTATCTTAGTAAAAATTCTAAGTTTTGATTCTTTTTGAAATATGAATTAATGCAAGTAATACATTTGTGTGGTTCAAAATGTATAACTATCAAAGAAGCACTGTGAATACCTCCGTTCCATTCCCATCTATATCTACCATGTTCTGTACTAATTTCTACTTTTGCTGATTTTTAAAATATCTTTCCAGAGTTTCCTTATGAAAATTCAAACAAATATAATTTATATCCCACCTCCCATTTCTCTCACAGGAGTTACATGTGCCTTGTATTTTTTTTTTTTTTTCTTGAAATGGAGTTTTGCTCTTGTTGCCCAGGCTGGAGTGCAATGGTGCGATCTTGGCTCACCGCTACCTCCATCTCCCGTGTTCAAACGATTCTCCTGCCTCAGTCTCCCAATTAGCAGGGATTACAGGCATGCGCCATATGCCCGGCTAATTTTGTATTTTTAGTAGAGATGGGGTTTCTGCATGTTGGTCAGGCTGGTCTCGAACTCCCGACCTCAGGTGATGTGCCCACCTTGGCCTCCCAAAGTGCTGGGATTACAGGCGTGAGCCACCGCGCCTGGCCAGCATGTGCCTTTTTTTTTTTTTTTAACTGAATATATCATGGACGTTTTTACATATCACTATGTAAGCCACCCTTCATCCTCTATTTAGCCTCTTGCTAAATACAACAGATACAACAGATCCTCAAATAACATTTTTTTCAACATCATTTTGTTTAGCATTGGTGAGAAAAAAAAATGTTCCAAACAGTGGCCACTGTCTGTCTGGAGTTTGCATGCTGGCATGCTCTACTTATGTCTGCATGGATTTTCTCTGTACTCTACTTTCCTCCCACATCCCAAAGATGTTAGGTTAATTAGTGTGTCTAAATACTCGCAGTCTGGGTGAGTGTACCCTGTGATAGGATGACGTCCGGTCCAAGATTTGTTTCCACCTGGCACCCTGAGCTGCCACATAATAAGCTCAGGCCACTCACAACCCTGAATTGGAATAAGTGGATAAAAAATTATCTTACTTGTTTTTATTAATCTCTTAAAAATACATGTAGAGCTCACATTTATTTCTATGTTTAATATTAGAAGTGTTTGGGTTTTTGTTTAGAACTTTGGTGACGTTTTTGTGACCAGCATGCCATAGGAATTTAACTCTTGCTTGTATGAGTTAGCCTATGAAAAAATTGTTTTTGTTATATCATTTCATTCAAAGTTGCAGTTTCCAAGAATCTATTGAGGACATTAAGTGAGTATTTTGTTCTTAGAAATAATGCTATGCAAGCAGACATACCTGTAAGACAAATACTAGAGGTGGAAAAGCCAGGTCAAAGACCAAATGCTCTTGTAGTTTACATTTTTCAGGACTGCCTTCTCTAGGGTTCATGCAAATTTATACTCAACCTGAAACATGCACTCCAAAAAATACAAGCAAATTGAATACAGTGACCTATAGAAAGAATTGTACACAGTGACCAAGTGGGATTTATCCCAGGATGGCAAGGTTGGTTTGAACATATGAAAATCAATTAATATAATTCATCATATCAATAGAATAAAAACAAAAATTAAATGATTATCTCAATAAACACAGAAAAAGCATTTGACAAAACCCAACTTCCTTTCATGATAAAGATACTACCAACTGGAAAATAGAAGGGAGCTTCCTCAATCTGATAAAAGTCATCTATGAAAACTCATAGCCAAAATTATATTTAATGGCAAAATGAATGCTTTGTCCTAAAATCAGGACCACCTCAATGCTATCTGCTCTTAGCATGACCATACAGCATTACATTAGTGGTGCTAGCCTTAGCAACTAGACAAGACAAGAAAGGCAACTGGATTATAATGGAAGTGAAACTATCTGTATTAGCAGATAACATAATTTTGTATATAGGAAATCCTAAAAAAATCACTTGAAACCTGTTAGAACTACTAAATTAATTCATCCAGGTTTCAGGATACAAGATCATATATAAAAATCAATTTTACTTCTACACACTTGTAATGAACAATCCAAAACTGAAATTAAAACAATTCCTTTTAGAATCATATCAAATAGAATAAAATACCTAGAAATAAATTTTAACAAAGAAGTAAACCTTAGACTCTGAAAATTACAAGACATTATTGAGAGAAATTAAAGATCTAAACAAGTGGAAAGCATCTCATGTTTATAGATTGGAAGACTTAATTTACGTTGTTAAGATGGCACTACTCCCCAAACTGATCTACATATTCAATACAATCCCTGTCAGAATCTCAGCTTACTTTATGTAGAAATGGGCAAACTAGTTAGAAAATTCAAGTAGTATCGCATAGACCCAGTACAGCCAAGATGATCTTGAAAACTAAGAGCAAACAATGACAATTCACCTTTCCTTATTTCATGACTTAATACAAAGCAATGGTAATTAAGATAGTGTGGTACTGGCACAAGGACAGACATATCGCTCAATAAAACAGAAATGAGAGTCCAAAAATAAGCCCGTATATCTGTGGTCAACTGACTTTCAACAAGGGTTTCAAGACCATGCAATGGGATAAGAATAGACTTTTCAACAAGTGGTGCTTAGACAAGTAGATTTCTACATGCAGAAGAATAAATTTGGACCTCTACTTCATGCCATATACAAAAATTAACTCAAAATCTATCAAAGACCCAAATGTAAGAGTTAAAGTTGTAATATTCTTACAGTAAATGATAGGGGTAATCTTTATGACCTGAGACTTGGCGAAAGATTCTTAGACATGATATCAAAAGCATAAGCAACAAGAGAAAAATGGATAAATTTGGTTTCATGAAAATGAAAAACATTTGTGCCTTAAAGGACACTATCATTAAACTGATAAGACAACTCACAGAATGGGAGCAATGATTTGCATATTGCATATCTGATGAAGGACCTGTCCCTAGACTATATAAAGAACCCTTACAACTCAGTAATAAAAAGACAATTAACTCAATTTTAAAATGAGCAAAAATCTGAATTACTATTTCTCCTAAAAAGATATAAAAATATATGCTTATTAGTATATGAAAAGATGTAAGAACCAGCGGGTAGGGCCAGGCATTGGGAGAGCTCCCCACGCAGGACAAGATGGCATCTTCTGCACAGCTGGACTTCAACCTTCAGGCTCTTCTGGAGCAACTCAGCCAGGATGAGTTGAGCAAGTTCAAGTCTCTGATCAGAAAAATCTCCCTGGGAAAGGAGCTACAGACAGTCCCCCAGATGGAGGTAGACAAGGCTAATGGGAAGCAACTGGTAGAAATCTTCACCAGCCACTCCTACAGCTACTGGGCAGGGATGGCAGCCATCCAGGGCTTTGAAAAGATGAACGAAACCCATCTGTCTGAGAGAGCTGATGAACGTCGTGTGATGCCCCTACTTTCACCCCTCCGGTGTAGTGAGTTGATGGCTGAGCTAGATGTTGCTTTAGCCTTGGTTCTGCCTCTGTTTTACATGCACATGTCACTTAACCTTGTTATATATGAAATATCTATATCACCAGTATATTGAGAGAAATAAAGGTGAACTAATTCACATCCCCCCACTCAAAGGACTTTGATCCAAAAGGGCAGAGAAGAGTGGTAGATAAACAATAAGAGCACATGTGATAAGTGTCTTGAATGAGATATGGAAATAAGGCTAGGGGATTCCAGGGGATGGAAACATTCAAGCCTTCAAGAACGTCAAGCAATTCTGTATCAGTAGTTGGCATTTCAATAGACTTTGAAGGATGGAGAATTTGCCACTCTCGACTAGGGGAAAGGATGCCCAAGCGGAGGAACAGCATGAGCAGAAGTAGGAATGTAAAGGGCAAGACAGTGAATAGTGACAAATTCAGTTTGATAAGGGTAGCAGTAGAGATTGTAGGGAAGGATTTTGTGCAGCTAAAGGAATGACAGGGGAGATATCTTCACAAAGAATAGTCAGTCTAGAAGTCCTTTTAGGTAGTCCCAAATTTATAACCATAAACAATGGAAGGAGGACAGTACAAAGAAGAGCTCTACATAAGAAAGCATGAAACTGCTTCAGAATTGCTGTGAGGCTTCTTTCCTCTGGAGATGAAATGTCACCGCATTTCTCAGATGACAATAGTATGATACTGCTCCAAAGGGAAAAGAAAAAGTACTGACTCTGACGACCATAATTGTATCTGGCCATTTTCCCTTTATATCATTGGCTGTACTGCAGGCTTTCAATATAGACTTAGAGGATGACTGGTCCAAAGACTCACCTATTCATGCTCTTGTCCAGAAAAAAAAAGATAAGATGTCCATAGAGTGAATAAATAAGAAATAGCCCAACCAATTCAAACATATTAGGGTATAGCCAAATTTCTTAATTTATTACTTGGTTAGCATAAAATGATAAATATTTCAGAAAAATAGAGGCAATAATCTTTCCCAATATATTATTGTTTTGAAATATATGAATAAATAAAACTAACATCTTAAAGTTGGTAGCTTTTTATTTTCAAAGTGGGTTCACATCTATATTCTCACAGCTTAAGAGATTATCAGAGCATGAAATTTTTGCCCTATTTTACAAATGGGGAGACTGAGAATAAGGTATTCATGATTTTCTGAGAAATAAAAGGCTTTTGAAGTGACCAAAGAGCTAGTGTTAACTTTCCTTTTACAGATGTTGGAACAGAGGCCTGTGGGAGTAGTTGACTTGTCCAAAGACTCAGAACTAGTGACTGATGAAGTTGGGACTCAAATCCTACATTCTACCTCTTAAACCAGGAAACTTCCCTCTACACCCCACTGTTTCTGAAGAGTAAGTAAGAGCTTTCCTTTTGATCATTGCCTCTATATGATTCAGCAAATACCCAATTTCTATTTCACAAGAATGTGGTCGAGTCTATTAAACGTCCCGTAGACGTGAGCATCCGCACAGTTTCTTCCCTCCTGCACTCTCTTAAATGATACATTCCTTACCTGCACAGGGGTGACATTTAAAATAAAGCCAAATAATTTTCTGTTTTTGAAAATGTCAAAGATGATCAGGGATCACATCCAGGCTTGGAGCTACGGTACCTTTTTTTTTTTTTTTTAAATGACTGCGCAGTTTAAACACATATGGGTAGATATAATCTCTGGGTTTCTCCTGGTGAGCTGAGGTTTTGAAATTCACTTAATCCCTTGCTATCTTAGAATCAGTATCATGCACGATATAGGCCAACCAAAATTTAGTGTTTATGGTTATATAAAAAAAATCATGGCAGGCTGTAAGTCAACGAAGGACAAGAACAGTTTGCCACTTCATAAGCTTTAGATGATCCAGATAATTTAGAAAATTCTTTCCTCAAGGAAAAATAACATTCATTACAGACTGAAAAAAAAACAGCTGATGACAGTATTTGTGATACACAAAATATCCTATTTTTAATAGTCATCACATATGGATTGTTATTTGGATACAGAAAAAATATTTTTGTAGTTCTACCTTCAAAGAGGATGGTAAAAGTTTTATGCGCAAGTGACTCATAGCTTTTCTTTCCATCCTCATTTTGTGTGATCTTAGGAAAAAAACCCTTCATCTCTATGGTGATTCAGTTGACCATTTTTGATCATGTATTTATAGTTTCTCTGTCAACAAATGCTTTTTTTTAGGGCTTCCTAGATGTTATGATATAAAAATTGTATGGCTACTGGCTAGTTAACAAACACTTGCCTTATAATTTTGGAAGAGAGCAAATTTTCTTTTGTATACTTTTTATTAACATGAATATAGTGGCTCCAAAGGGCTGGACTGGTGCATGGCATTCCCCCAAGTGATGAAGCAGTGCATGGGTAAGTTGTCAGACAGCGCAGTCACCAGTCACCAGAAAATGACTGAAGGCAGCACTCTTTCTTCATATGGGGATTTCCATGTTTCTTCATCAAGCTTGTGTCATGTTTCTACTTAGCTGCATTACAAAATTTTCTTTTGTGGAGAGCATGGGATTTAGCTATGCATTTTGTGAAAGCATGTTTATTATTAATTGAGTAACTATACTGCTTAGGAATCACAAGAGGCCATCACTGGACCTGGTTTTGGGCTCTGGCAAATAGCATGGGTAATGAGGCAGAGGAGGTGACGGTAGAGAAGTCAGGGTAAGATAAGGGTTTAGCCTGGGCACAGTGGCTCAATGCCTGTAATCCCAGCACTTTGAGAGATAGTGGATCACCTGAGGTCAGGAGTTCAAGACCAGCCTGACCAATATGGTGAAACCCTGTCTCTACTAAAAATACAAAAATTAGCTGGATGTGGTGGTGGGTGCCTATGGTCCCAGCTACTCAGGAGGCTAAGGCAGGAGAATTGCTTGAACCCGGGAGGTAGAGGTTGCAGTGAGGTGAGATTGCGCCACTGCACTCCAGCCTGGGCGAGAGACTGAGATTCAGTCTCAAAAAAAAAAAAAAAAAGAAAGGTTTAGTTTCTGATCTTTAGGCATCATCATGGCAACAAGTGACTGATCTTTCTTGCTTTCTTGCCTGTCAGAGACACGGAGTGAGAGAAACTTCTGGGGATCCCTGCTGTGTGTTACAACAGGCTGTTGCTCCTTAACCTGTAGTTCAAGGGTATCACTAGAATAGGTGAATTCCGTAAGAAAATGAAAAAGGAGTTTATTAAAGTCTATTAAAGCAAACCCAAGGACTTAATCCCTAAAATGTTCTCATAAGATGGCAGGCAGAGCATAAAATCAAAAGTAAGTCTCCTATTCCACCTCCTCATTGCAGATTCACTGCCAGAAGTGACTTAGTTTACCTTTTCTGATTTGCGTTTTTCTGGTGGGCACCTACAGCTACTCACTCCATTGCCCATAAGTTTGAGAAATAAACATAATTTTTTCAATTTCTTGATCCATCAGTGTTCAGCAGTAGTAGGTGATTCCAAAAACAAAAGATGTAGTGTTTGCTCTTGCATAATACAACCTTACTCCCATCTCTCCTTCTCTCCTGTCTCCTAGTTCATAAGAGTTTTATCATTTTAAACATTTTAACATTTCCATGGTTTATAGATTTGAGACCTTTTTTTTGAAAGGTGGAGTCTCGCTCTGTTGCTTAGGCTGGAGTGCAATGGCGTGATCTAGGCTCACTGCCACCTCTGCCTCCTGGGTTCAGGCGATTCTCCTGTCTCAGCTTCCCAAGTAGCTGGGACTACAGGCATGTGCCACCATGCCCAGCTAATTTTTGTACTTTTTAGTAAAGACAGGGTTTCACTATGTGTTTGCCAGGCTAGACCCAAACTCCTGACCTCAGGTGATCCACCCGCCTCGGCCTCCTAAAGTGCTGGGATTACAGGCATGAGCCACTGTGCCCGGCCCAGATTTGATACTTTTGTGCTTTGCTTACAACTTGAAATAATAAAATTCAGCAGTGTTTACATTATTAGGATAAGGCAAATATTATTCACTGCAGAACCAAGTAGTGAAATTTGATCTGTAGAAAAAAGGAAATGTAATCTTAAAACCTTACGTTTGAGTCACATTAAAGAGAATTTTCTGCAAGTCAAGAACAAGTGAATTCTCTTTTATTACAGCCTGTTAATTGTTCATTGTAATGCCACATTTTATATCAATTCATATGTAAACCATGAGGGGCAAGGCTTTCAGGTATTTGCCTGGGAAACTGAGGCGTTTGGAGAAAATGTCTAAGAGAAGAGATAAGGAATGAGTGAGGACTGTTTGATCAATGAGGTTTTAATTGTCACAGCAAAGAGGTCTTTCATAAACTTGTTCCTGGCTCCGAGACAGGAAGCAAACAGGTAATAAATAAGACAATTATTTTCAGTGAAACTTCTGTAGGTTAGTTAAGGCATAGGGTATTATTGCTTTGATGATTTGATATACTGCTAACTGAATAAAATATAAAAAGGGTAAGAGAAATAATTACGTAACTCTATCCAGTGAATTTTCCAGGACTTGAACAAAAACATTCAATGATACTGGCTTACAGGGCCTAGTGGAGATGGTGGAGTTAGTGAACATAGTGTACAAGGGTGGCTGGAACATGGCAGAATGTAGTAGAAACAGCTACTTTATGCAATGGACATGGGGCTCTCAAGAAGCAGATGTGGACCAAGCAAAAGTGGCAGTACCTAGAAAGAGCTATAGCTCTCACTGAAAGCAATTCACACCTGGAAGAAAGTAAAGCACCCACTGTATGTTGTTGTGCCCAACAGATTTTACTGTCCCTAGAAAAAGAAAATTGGTTTAGAAGATGGGAAGAAGGGGTGGATGTCATATGAAAAATGAGATGGGAAGAAGGGGTGGATGTCATATGAAAGATGAGATGGGAAGAAGGGGTGAATGTTACATGAAAAAGATGAGCAGCTTTTTCATGAGATTTCCCTGAGGACATAATTAGGAGAGAGAGAGTAGAGGGAAAAAACACTAGTCAAAATTTTGTGTGTAAATATATATATATATATATAGTATTTTGTATAGATCCTTGATAAATGTAAACACTTTAATTTGCAGTTGTATGAAGACATTTTTCTAGAGCAATATTACATTGTGGGAAAAAGTATGAGATTTTGGTCAGAGGAAGAACTATGTTTGAAAAGCTCTTGCACAAGTCTCTCTAAGATGATCTGAGCCTCATTTTTTCTAACCTGTAAATTGGGAATAAGAAACCCCCTCTTTCTTACTAGGTGTAAGAATGAACTGGAGAGATGTGAAAATCACATGTGAAACCCAATGGGTTATAGGACTATTGGCTTTTCTTCTACAGAATAATCTAATTTTAGAAATACTCTTCTTCGGATACCTGCTCCCCAAAATCTGGAGCTCAGATAAACCTTTTTATCCCTTGTTTACTAAGCAGCAGTGATAAATGTAATATTTACCCACCTCATTAATACAGTTATCTGGCTTGGTCTACTCTAGGGTCAAATGTATCGTCGGTGTTTTGACTTCTTTCAAGAACACTCAGAGAAGGGTATAGGTTATGGTCCTGAAAAATAATAACTTTATTGCCCAGACTGTCCTAGGCAGAATTTTCTCCTGAGATGACAGTTCAAATTCCCTATTCCTGACTACCAGATGAATCAACACAACTTATGAAAGCAAATAAGTAATAAATACATGACAGTTCAAATTCCCTTTTCCTGACTACCAGGTGAATCAACACAACTTATGGATTTATTAACAAACCTATTGGTATTGTTGAGGATTTTAAAAATAAATTAATTTTTGTTATTATAAGTCGTTATCTAGATTTTTTCAATACTTATTGATTGTACTTATGTGAGGGTAGTAATCAGTATGGTAGAAGAGGAAGAGCACTAGAATACAATTTCAAAAAATGGGGAACTTAAACTTGGTTTATTCTCTTCCTTCCTTTCTCTTATTTCCTTGTTTTCTTTTTCTTTTTTTTTTCTTTTTGAGACAGAGTCTCTCTCTGTTGCCCAGGCTGGAGTGCGATGGTGCGATCTTGGCTCACTGCAACCTCAGCCTCCTGGGTTCAAGTGAATCTCCTGCCTCAGCCTCCTGAGAAGCTGGAATTTCAGGCGCCCACCACCATGCCTGGCTAATTTTTGTATTTTTAGTAGAGACGAGGTTTCGCCATGTTGGCCAGGCTGGGTGATTCACCTGCCTCGGCCTCCCAAAGTGCTGGGATTACAGGCATGAGCCACTGCCCCCAGCCCCTCTTATTTCTAATTAATAAATAATATTTGTATTTATTTATGGGGTATAAAAAAGGCCATCAGGAAAACATTCACTGAAGTCTTACTTGTAGAACTTAAACTTGAAAAATGAGTATAATTTGGACATGTGGAGATAGACCTAGATT